GTGCCCGCGTCCCTGCTGGGCACGGCGGTGGGCGGCGCGGTGCTGCTCAGGTGAGTGGGCGCGGCCCCGGCGGCCGCGGGAGGGAAGTCGGGGGAGAGCGCGAACTCCTCGCCCGCCAGCCGCCCCACCCGCGGCGCCCCTGGAGGACCTGGGACGGACCTCAGCCCCGAGGCGGCAGGTCGCGCCAAGGTCACCCGGAGGAAGGGCCGGTTCCAGGCCCTTGTGAACATTTTGGTCTGGTTGCTTCCAGGCTTTTCACCGATGGGTTAATTCATTCAGCGGGTGTGTGCTGAGCGGGTCCCATACGTCACCCGGCGGCCCCGGGGCGCGGAACGTGTGTGCCGCCTGAGCTCCCTTATCCGAATGAGAGAAACAAATAAATTGTGCAACTCGGGAGACGAAAAGCTGGTATTACAGGGGACGTATATATACATGGTTCTTGTCTTTCCTAGGCTAGTTAACTTAAAAAACAAAACAACCTAGCCCTGGCTGGTGTGGCTCACTTGGTCGAGCGTAGTCTCATGCACCCAGAGGTCCCCAGTTCAATTCCTGGTCAGGGCACATGCCTGGGTTTCAGGCTCCATCCCCAGTGGGGGGTTTGTGGGAGGCAGCCCATCCATGTTTCTCTCTCTTCCTCTCCCTTCCTTTCTCTCTAAAAAATAAAAATAAAAAAACAATAAAAACATTTAAAAAATCAATAAAAATCAATAAAAAATCTTAAAGAAAGAATCAACCAATGAATGCATAAATAACTGGAACAACAAATGGATGTTTCTCTCTCTCCCTTCCTCTCTCTAAAATCAATAATTAAAATAAAAAACAAAACAAAACATAATGATTGTCATGGCCTGGAGCCTTCCTCACACAGCGCTGTGCTCCGCCCTTTACCGGTAATGTGACCACGGCTTCGTGGTGCTCTGCAACATCGCTTCCATCTTTCCATTGGGGAAACAAGCTCAGAGGGGTCATTTGCCGGAGGTGAAAGCAGTTGGGGTCACCTGTGGTGAGGGGACAGACAGATGGAACTGAGCGTGCTGTTTCTTGCCTTCAGGGATTACGTCGCCGGTGGGGCCTGTCCCAGCAAGGCCACCATTCAGGGGAAGACTGTCATTGTGACGGGAGCCAACACTGGCATTGGGAAGCAGACGGCCTTGGAGCTGGCCAGGAGAGGTGATATCCTAGGTGGCAGGGGGTTGGGTGAAAAAGGGAAGGGACTAAGAAACGCAGATTGGGAGTTAGGATAGTCAGGGATGTGAAGTACAGCACAGAGAACACAGTCAATAATATTCTAATAACTAGGGATGGTGCCAGGTGGGCACTAGACTTATCAGGGAGATCACTTTGTAAGTTATATAAATATCTAACCACTAGGCTACACACCTGAAACTATTATAATATTGAATGTCAACTGTAATTGGAAAAAAAACAAAGGGGCGAGGTCCTGCTTTCTCTGCTGGAGGCTGATGGTGAAGGGTATATGCATACCTAGGGGTGGATATTTTTATTTAAAAAAAAATTTTTTTTTCTATCCTGGGCTTCCAGGAGGTAACATCATCCTGGCCTGTCGAGACATGGAGAAGTGTGAGGCGGCGGCAAAGGACATTCGAGGGGAGACCCTGAATCACCGTGTCAACGCACGGCACCTGGACTTGGCCTCGCTGAAGTCCATCCGAGAGTTTGCAGCGAAGGTCATTGAAGGTAGGAGGGGGACACTGGCTGTGTGGGGTGAGATCTCGGGCAGCCAGGCTCTGAGGCCTCTGGTATTAAACCAGGCCTGGACCTTAAGGCCCACAAAGCCAGTAATCTTTACTGTATGGTCCTTTTTAAAAAATACTTTTATTGCTTTTTAGAGAGGAAGGAAGGGAGAGGGAGAGAGAGAGAAATGTTGATGGGAGAGCGAAGCATCAGTTGGCTGCCTCCCCTACTAGGGATGGAGCCTGCAACCTGGGCATGTGCCCTGACTGGGAATCGAATGGGCAGCCCCCAGGCGCACAGCCAACTGAGCCACACTGGCCAGGGCTGCCTGGTCCTTTACAGAGACTGTTTGCTGACTCCTGTTCAGTAGGAAAACAAACTCCTGCATTAGCTTGCATCCTACAAGAAGCTGAGGCCATGATGGGCCGTGGAGGAGTAGTGAGCCAGGGAAGAGAAACAGTGATTCATCCATTGTTTCCTGAGGCTTTCTGTCTCCGGTGACTCCAGGACACTCAGATGAGTCAGAATCAGGTTGTGTCTCCCCAGGAGCAATGGGTCATGTGGGGACATGACCGTGACAGTTCGTCTGCCACTAGAGGACCCACAGGCACAGCACAGAGTCCCCGCACCTCCCATCTCCCCCTCCCCACCTCTTTGCTGGACTTTCTTTTCACAAATTCAAGGATCAGGCTGGAGTTTTTCTGCACTTGTCACATTGATTGCTGACTCACTCATTTTGTTTCCCACCTGTTCTCTGAACTGTTCACGCATTAAATTTTTTGAATAGGAATAACATCGGCAGTATTTAATGATCAGAAAATACAAAAGGGGAGAGACAGCCTATTGTCTCCCTGCCATGCCTGAGGAAGCTCCCAGCGGTGTTCCTCGTGTGTTCAGTGCTCGTGTGTCCATCTGGAGACAGTCCCTGCATTTATTAAGCAGGCAGATGTATCGCTGTCCCTTGGTCCTTTTGTACAAATTGGAGCCTGTTGTACGCCCAGTGCTGCCCTGGCTTTTTCTCCTAGATTCTCTCTTACAGATGGATGCAGGCAGAGCTACCTTTTTCTTGTGGCTACATTGTATTTCTTGATTCTTTTCTTGTGGTTACATTGTATCTCTTTATCCTTTTCTTGTGGCTACATTGTATTTCTTGGTTCTTTTCTTGTGGCTACACNTTATCCTTTTCTTGTGGCTACATTGTATTTCTTGGTTCTTTTCTTGTGGCTACACTGTATTTCTTGGTTCTTTTCTTGTGGCTACATTGTATTCCATCATGTGGCTCTGACAGGTTGGCCGTTTGGCCTCCAGCCTCTCTGGGGCTGCTGTGAATGCCTGTCTTCGTGTACGTGTTATCTGTCACAGCCGTGATGGTGTCTGCAGATCTTGGAGACAGCTTCTTCCTCTGCACCTGGCTACATGTTAAATAAAAGCAGGAAAGCTAGCTGGGAGACAGAGGAGCTGGTGCTCAGAACAAATAAACATTTATGGATTATTCTTTTAAAACCCCTGATGCAAAGAAATACATGTTCCTTATGGAAAAGTCTTTAAAATCCTGAATAGTAAAGAAGAACTGAACACCATTGATTCCACACTAGCCCCAAGGGACTCACTGTTAACCTTTCCCCCTTACATTGTGAAGTTTTCATGGTGAAAACATAGCTACTGTTCTTTCATTTTTTCTTTTAACTATTTTTAGTGATTTCTAGAGAGAGAGGAAGGGAGAGGGAGAGGGAGAGAGAAAGGGAAACAGATTGGCTGCCTCCTGCACGCCACCTACTGGCCCCAAACCTGGGCACGTGACCTGACTTGTGATTGACCTGGGATCCTTTTGGTTCATGGGACAATGGAACGATGCCCAACCAGACTTCCCTTTCTTATGAGGACACCAGTCTTGTTGGATGTGGACCTGCCCTGTGACCTCATCTTGACTTGATTACTTCCCCAAAGACTTCGTTTCCAAAAAAATGTTCCCATGCGCAGATTTCAGGTGGATGCGAATGTTCAGGGGACATGGCTGAGCCCAGCACATCACGGAGCTGATGCCTTTGCCCGGACCCCTGTCTTCCAGAGGAGGAGAATGTGCACATCCTGGTCAACAACGCGGCCGTGATGCGGTGCCCGCACTGGACCACAGAGGATGGCTTCGAGATGCAGCTGGGCGTGAACCACCTGGGTGAGGCCTGGGCTGCGTGCTGTTGGGACATGAGTGGGGTCCCTAATGGGTCAGACGCGGGCTCTGGGAGGGGGTGTCCTCCCCCATTCTCCGAGTTGGCTGGTGGCCACTCGCGGGGTCACCCAGCAGCCCAGGGAGTTGCCCGTTCTTCGCTGGATGCTTGTAAAGTCTTTTGGATCCTCCATCAGTCTCTTGACCTTTTATCCCTTTGTCTGGCCTTCAGTCCCAGTCTATTCTTCAGCCACTCTGTCAGTCTGTCTGTTGTCACTCTGCATGTACCTGGGGTTATGCTAGTAAGGGCCAGGGGCAATGTGACATATTGGGTGAGGGCCCACTCTAATGACTTAATTATCTCTGTAAAGACCCTGTCTCCAAATAAGGTCACATTCTAAGGTTCTGGACCATAGGACTTCAATGTATTTTTTTGCGGGGGAGGGGAGTGGGGAGACACCACTCAACCCTAACACACACACACACACACACACACACACACGCACGCACGCACGCACGCACGCAGTTAGTATGATTCATGCCCTGTTGGCTGGGAGTCTCACATGACCGATCTAGTTGCAAAGGAATCTGGGAAACAGTCTTTCACTGGGCTGTCTTGGGCACAGCCAAAAATTCTATTGCTGAAGAAGTGGAGAAAAGATTTTGGGAGGCAGAAGGCAGTCTCTTTCCCCACTAACCTCTAGGGCTTGACATTTGGGGCTGGATAATTCCTTGTTGCAGGGGCTGCCCTGTGATTTATAGGATGCTGAGCAGCATCCCTGGCCTCCATCCACTAGATGGTAGTAATGGTCCTACTCTCCACAGTTGTGACAACCAAAATTGTCTCCATATGTTGCCAAATGTCCCCTGGGGCTCCATGTTGCTTACGGTTGAGAACCATGAGTTATTGGGAGGGTGAGATAAAGTAATGTTCTCAGCATGCTCCTAGGCACGTGGTATGAGTTTAAGGACAGTTATCTTTTTGTCATCTTTCGTCCAGGTCACTTTCTTCTGACAAACTTACTGCTGGACAAGCTGAAGGCCTCAGCCCCTTCTCGGATCATCAACCTCTCGTCCTTGGCTCACGTTGCTGGGCACATCGACTTTGATGACCTGAACTGGGAGAAGAGGAAGTATAACACTAAAGAGGCCTACTGCCAGAGTAAGCTGGCCGTGGTCCTCTTCACCAAGGAGTTGAGCCGGAGGCTGCAAGGTGTGTGTGTGACGCCCCCCTTCCTTTAGCTCTGGGCCTGGAACAATCCTGCTGTGACCCTGGGCCCATGGGAGGTCAAGCATGGGCTCTAGGACAGAGGAGGCACACATGCCACCACGCTCCCTGCCAGTGTCTGAAGCAGACATCACTAATCAAGCACACACCACCAGACTCCTAGCCTGTGCCTGGAGCAGGCATCACTAATCAATCACACACCACCAGGCTCCTAGCCTGTGTCTGGAGCAGACATGACTAATCAATCACAAACCACCAGGCTCCCCATCAGTGCCTGGAGCAGACATCACTAATCAATCACACACCACCAGACTCCTAGCCTGTGCCTGGAGCAGGCATTGCTAATCAATCACACACCACCAGGCTCCTAGCCTATGCCTGGNGTCACACACCATCAGGCTCCTAGCCTATGCCTGGAGCAGACATCACTAATCAACACACACCACCAGGCAAATATCACTAATCAATCATGCCTTCTTTGGTATCTGAGCTTTGGTTCTCCAGGCCAGTGGATATTTGGCAATATCTGGACATACTTTGGCTATCACTTGGGGGGTGGGTGTTGCTACTGGCATCTAGTGGACAGAAGCTGGAGACACTGCTCGATACCTTCAGTGCACGGGTTAAAGAATGATCAGACCCCATGGTCCATAGAGCTGACCCTGAAAAGTCTGTTCTTTGCCCTTGTTTCTCATAGAGGGGGTGTGAGCCAGCAGGTTAGCTCACCTGGGAGCTTATCAGACCACATCCTGACCCACTGCTTCAGACCTCTGGGGGTGGATGGGTATCTCAAGTCCTCTGTGTGATTTTGACATACACTCAGGTTGAGAGGCTGTGCTCTGGACAGCCATGTGACAGAGCTGCCTTGCGAGATCCAACCACCTGGCATGGAGGTTTCTGAGTAAGAAGGAGATGTTGGTTCAGGGCAGGAAATGGGGGAGCCCCAGAGCTCAGGGTGGACAGCATCAGGCTTCCTGCTAAGGAGTGAATCTGATGTCTGTCTGCCCCCCCCTTCCTTCTCTCCCCAGGCACAGGTGTAACCGTGAACGCTCTGCACCCTGGGGTGGCCAGGACAGAGCTGGGCAGACACACGGGCATGCATAGCTCTGCCTTCTCTAGCTTCACTCTCGGTAAGTCCCCTCCTGGTCTGGGATCCCCTTGCTGAACCCCTGCCCTCCCTGCTTGGGGCCCAGGAACCTCCTTCAGGGTTTTAGGAGCAATGAGGTATATATAAGGTATTTAGAAAGATTTTTTTAGGAGTGATTGACTCATGGTTTATGGAAGCTGAGGTCTCACAATCTTCCCTCAGCACACTGGAGGCCTGGGAAAGGGACTACACCTGAAAAACATATAATCCTGAAAAACATTTAGTGAGTGGGTGCCTGGTGGCAAGGATCTTAGGTTGAAGTTGGCACTGGAGACATTTAATAAATAAAAGTTATTTTAAATCAAGATGGAGTACGGTGGGGACTTGGGGCTGATGGAAAGGAGGGAGAGCTTCTATTTGTCTGGGGAAAGCCAGGGAGGCTTCCTGGGGGAAGTGGCTTTTTGGCTGGTCTCTGCTTCTGGAGGAAAGGGAGCTCCTAGTTGAGAGAACCACAGGAGCAGAGTCCTGGAGGTAGGCTCTGTGGGACTCCAGGCCACCTTCCGGCCTCAGTGGGCCCTGTGTCCTGCCTGGGGTGGAGTAGGGCTTTGTGTATCTTCCTGAATGCTCTGTGGGCTGATTGCAGGGCCCATCTTCTGGCTGCTGGTCAAGAGCCCCCAGCTGGCGGCCCAGCCCAGCACCTACCTGGCTGTGGCAGAGGAGCTGGAGGGCGTTTCTGGGAAGTACTTCGATGGACTCAAAGAGAAGGCTCCGGCCCCCGAGGCCGAGGATGAGGAGGTAGCCCGGAGGCTTTGGGCTGAAAGTGCTCGCCTGGTGGGCTTGAAGATGGCCTAGGGGTGCGCTGTGTGGGGACAGCCCCACCCCGAATCCCCTGGGAGCCTGCGTGAAAACCGTCAGGATGGGGCTGCAAGACCGAGGCTAGGTGCCATGTCCACACCACCCACTAGGTGGCGGTATTGACACTATGAGCTTCAAGAGTAAGAAGCCTGCCTGCCATGCCGGAAGCAGCCACTAGATGGCAGCATCGGCCAAATCGTAAAATTAAGGCACCTGCCTGCCATGCCTGCAGGAGCCGCCAGGTGGCAGCATTGACCAAGGAATGCTGGCTGCCATGCTCACATCGCCCTCCAGGTGGCAGCATTGGCCTTTTCTCCCCCCTCTCTTTTCTGGCCACAGTGGCTTGGACTGCAAGTGGGCACCTGACCCCGGGGCTGCCACAGGTGAGCTGGGCCATCAGGTCCCTTAGGAATCTAAACTGGGAAATGCTGGGGGAGGAGCCGGCTCCCTCTGATGTGGGCCACAGTGAGGGATCGAGTTCAGGGTCCCCTGTGGGACTTTACATACCTCGGGCTCCTCCCTGAGCCTGTTTCCCCAACTATAAGTTGTGCAGAATCTCGTGACTACCTCACAGGATGGCCTGCTGAGCATTAACAGGGAAAGTTTACTGAGGGTCTTAGTGTGCTAGGCCCTGGCCAGGTGCAGGGTGGGGGTGGGTGTACCCCGAGAACAGGTCCCCCCACACCTGGCCCATAATCCCTGAGTCACGGCCCGGGCAGGTGAACAACGCACCAGCCACTGCTGCCGAGGGCCCGGGAGGCCTGGGGTCACGACCTTCCCTTGCCCGTGGGCTCTCAGGCTTCCTCTTTAATCATAATTAAAGGTCTCCCTGAGTCATCGGTCTCGCTTTCTCCCTCCGGGCTCGAGGGGAAGCGCCAGCGAGCTCCTGTGTGTGTTCCTTTGGGAAGCAGAGCTGGCGGCTTAACCCAGGCCGGGAAGCCACTCAGACATCCAGAGGGTTAGAGATGGAAGGGTCCCCTCACGCCTCTCGATTGGCGACAGTCATTGGAGTCTGGGTTATCCTGTGTGTGAGAAATGGGGCTGGCTCTGAGCTCAGGCACAGAATGGAGGGTGGGGAGCAGCCAGCGCTCAGTAATCAGGGTAAACGCGGCTCAGCTGGGCGTCGGCGGGTGCACCCGAGAGACGGGCCGTCCAACTCCCAGTCAGGGCACAGGCCTGGGGCCCCGTAGGGGGCAGCAGGAGGCAGCCGGTGGATGTTCCTCTCTCCCTCTCTCTCTCTCAAAAATCCAATAAACTATTAAAACAAAACAAAAACTTAAGATGTGAGGCCAAGTGGCTGCTTCCCGTCCTGAAATGCACAGCAGAGCACAGAAGGACCGCGGTGCGGGGAGGGGCGTGGTGGAGGCGGAACCGGAGGCGGGCCAACGCTTTATAAACATTTTCCTACTTTTACCACATCAGACCGGCGTAGCCCAGGGATGTGCTTGGGGCGACCTGAGCCGGGTAGGCAGCTTCCCCCAGGGACCCAGGGTCCCCTCCCTCCTCCAGAGTAATCAGCTGATCGGCAGCTTTCATTCCCCTCCTTCCAGGTGCCCCTTCGCCCTCCCTGCCTGGGAAGGGACGGTGTCCGGGGAGCAGGAGGGGGACACCGTCGGGGGACTGTCCTGTGGGCCGCAGTCCCTTGCAGACCCCTGCTTTCTTAGCTTTTCTCGAGCTTCCCTTCCGCGGTTCCACTGGCTCCTTTCTGCTCCAAGGAGGCGGAATTGCCTCCACCTGCGCCCCGAGCCCGTCGCTGCAGGATGTTCCCTCCCGGCTGCCGGCTTCTGAAGCTGTCAGGGGGTCTCGGCAAGACGAGGGCTGGAACTCAGTCCGGTTCCGGAGCCCACCCTTTCTGGGGGTGGCATGGGCCCCGACGGAGGAGGGGAGCCTGTCTTCCGCGGCTTGGGGTTGACCCGCCACAAGCCCTCGCCGCCCACGTCTGCTTCCTTTCGGAACCCAGAGGCCCCAGAGACCGCAGGCGCTGACTCACGGTGCCTGAGGCCGCCGCGGGGCCCCGAGGCTTTGAGGTGGCTCAGGAGCCAGCCCCAACCTTCTCAGATGAAAGATGATAAACCCCATCTAACGACACCCTCAAAACCCACAGACGCCCAGACGGGAGAGTGTGGCAAAGTAACAGGCAGGCCGAGGAAACAGGAGAAAGGGCTGTGGTTTTGGGGGGAGGGTGGATGCTTCACCGAAAGGGACCCAAGTGGGGGTGAAGCCTGCATAGCCTCCTTGGGGCCCGGGAATTGTGCCAGGATGTGTGGCTGCTGGGGACAGGTGGCGACGGGTGTCAGCTGGGCTGGTGCTCGCCCGGCGCTGTTTCCTGGAAGAGGTCAGTCGGGGATATTGGGACCCGGGCAGGTCTTCGACCCAATGACAAGTGTCGTTATAAGACGTTTGAGGACAGAGGGCAGAGGTAGGACTGACGGACCCCAAACCGAGGACAGGCCCTCCCAAGATGCGAAAGGCAAAGAAGAGTGTTGTGGGCCTCAGAGCAAAGTGCGGACCCTGGAACAGAGACGCCACACCCACCTGCTCATGCTAACCACTGTCACCCGATAAATTTAATAATAAAAAAACTACAAAAGGGGCAAAGAACAGACTCCCCCCTGGGCTCCTGACGCCTTGATTCTGGACTTCTGGCTTTAGGAACTGAGAGAATACACTTTAAAAATAAAAATGTTGTTATTGATTTTAGAAAGAGGAGGGGAGAGGGAGAGAAACGGCAGTCGGTTGCCTCCCACATGCGCCTGCCTGGGAATCGAACCCCTGACCTTTTTGTGCGCAGGGTGGCGCTCCGACCAACTGAGCCTCCCGCCCAACGCATTCTTTAGGCCGCCAAGGTGATGGCAGATTGTTCCAACAGCCAGAGCAAACACACAACTCTTTGGGGCCACCGGAGGGCTGCCAGGGCCCGGGGCACTTCCTCTCATTTCTGTCCGTGGGAGAGAGAAGCTCGTCCCTGTCACGTCTGGCCGGCTGGGAGCTCATCTTCAGGCCCCCGGGGTCCCGCACAGATGCCCCGGGGCAGTGGCTCCCAGGAAGGCCCCCCAGCACCTGCGCTGCGATGCTCCTGGCGGTTCCGGGGGCGCGCTCTGCACCCCTGTTGAGCAGCACCCCTGGTCTCGACACCAGAGGCTGGTAGCCCCCCCCCAGGCGTGACACCCAAACCGTCTGCAGACATTGCCAGGGTGTCCTGAGAGGCAGGAGTCACCTTCTGTCGAGAACCACGGAGGTCGTGGGGCCGGGGTCCATCCTGGGGGCTGTTAGCTGGGGACAGGGGCAGGGAGCCGGCCCTAGTCAGTGTTGGCACCTGGGGCGCAGGCGGGTGGAGGGGGGCCCGCCTGGGGGTGAGCGGCTTTAGAGTTTGACTTCTTATGGAAACTGCAAATGAGGAAAGGCTGTGGCCGCAGGGAGTGGCTGCCCCCGAGCAGCCCGTTCCTGGGAAGACAAGTCAGGAAAGCGGGGTTTTTCTCTAGCGCGACAGGCTCATGCTTTAAAAAAAAAAAAAAAAA